ACCAAGCTTTGAGGCAGGCCACATTCTATTTCCTGAAGCTGCTGATCACATCCACACACACTTTCCCTCAAGGTGAAGCTTCTGAGACCTTGTCCATCATAAAACCCCCAATGTAATGACAGCCTCTCCGCCTCAAGTCTAAAGTCTCCCTAAGGTTTGTGTTTTGTCATAAAGATGCACGTGAATTTTGCATTCTGACCATCACCCTTATCTCTCCACTATCTCTCCACTTGTTTCCTATCCTGTTTTTCTCCCAAGTCTTTTATTGACATTTCTCCAGGAACACACACATTGATAGCCACCCCAGGTCCATGCCAGCTTCAGAGACATTTTATTGGAGCAGCTTGGCTTTAATGCTTCTGACCCCAAATCCAGCAATGCGGGAGGCTGGGACAAGTGCTGCCGGGTGCCCTCAGGTGGACACCCAGCTAAGGTAGCTGTTCAGCTGATAGGACATCTGTTCCCAGCCCAGTTCCCAGTGAAGGAAGGCAGTACTCAGAATTGGTGCAGGCCACAAAGGCCTTGGAGGCCTCATATACCCCATTATGACACAACCTGCCCCTCTCAGAACTGATAGTATGAGCAAACACTAGCTTAAAGTCACTCGCATTACAGCTGAGTCACCCCTGGTCACCCCTAGCCCAGAACTTCAGGTCTAGAGGTGACAAGCTAAAGGTCTGTTTAGATCTCAAGGTATTATTTTTTCCTTCTTGAACTAGTTGCTGATTTAAAAAAAAAAAAAATTCAACTAGCAGAAATTTTTCAAAATATCTTATCTGTAGCTTTGTTGATGGTGGAGGGGGTGATCTAACCACCTGACAATCTGGCCTTGCCCTCCATATGGGCAACTGCAGTTGAACCCCTCCAGAGAGTATATACGCCACACTTAACCATAATCCCCACCAATCCCTATTGCTCACAGCATAGGTTCCAGCCCCCTTCACTTTTTCCATGCTCGCCTGGCTGCCGTAGGCCTCACAGTGGGCAGCTCCTGATGAAGTCCACCAGATAAAGCCCAAAGACATTAAATGACCTACCCTGTTCAAACATTCAATTAGTTAAAACTGAACTATGTGGCAACTTAGTTTCAATTTCACAAAGACCCATTTCTGTTTCAGAGAAATGTCATCACATTTCTCTCCCAGCTCTTCTGAAGAGAGGGAAGGGAGTTAGAGAAAAAATATTATACTTGCTTAGCCTGGAAAAGCACATTTAAAATATCTCACATGGCCTCCCTCGTGGCGTAGGGGTTAAAGTCTTAGTGCTATCAAGCTATCACCAGCCACTTCGGCATGAATTCACTCCCCAGGCAGGGAGCTGACCCACATGGCGCAGCAGACCTCTCCTGTCTCACCCGCTGCTCCCCTCAGCAGTGTATTTCAGTGGATCCGCCTGTTCTGTTCCCCACTCTGTGTCTCGTGAATCTCCTCATTGCCCTGACCCCCGCACCTCTGGCCTACAACCCAGTTCTCCAATGCCTAAATTAAAAATAAATATTTAAATTAAAAATAATAATAAAATAAAATATCTGATATAAAAGAAATCTGGTATCTTCCCAAACTCCAAGAAACACATGGATTTTTAGCTGATATGGATCAGAGAGGGAGAGACCTTGATGGGATAGAAAGCCTGGCTCCTCATAATGCCTGTCCATCCTTGAAGTCCCCTTACCAATGCAGTAAATACTGGAACATTCTTGCATTTGGGGGAGACTTTCTTTTGCAAATGAATCACCCCCCCATTCCAACGATTTTACCTTTACTTGGGGGCTGCAGTGGGATATCTAGAAACCAGAAAATAGACAATAGGCCAGTGGGCCCCAGTTTATAACTAAAACTACTCCTTGCCCACAGGGATACCTCACTAACCAGCTGTTCACAGACAGTCACAGGGCCAGCAGTGGACTTGGCTAAGTGCCCTGTTTGTTTTTGGGAAACCGTTGGTGCTCATTGGGTCAGATTAATAAATACCTTTAGGGTTTCCTCTGACAACATTCTCCAGAGTGGGGCACTTTGAGCTTTTAGGTCACTTCGAGAATCATTAACAACTGCACCCCCGCCTCCACGGGGTGACTTGACAATGAGCTTGAGCCATTCCCCTTAGAAAGACTGTTTGCTGGTGTCATTAACAGAGCAAGACACAAAACCACCCTAGTTCCCACCTTAGAACTGCAGTAAGCTGGTCAGAGGGGTCTTCCCTGACCCCCTATCTTTAAACCAAATACCCCTGAGTCCCTGAGTCCCTCTGCTTCCACCTCATCACATTTTCCTTCACTCGTGCCCTAACACATCACCTTCTGACATAACTGGACTTTTTCTTTTTTTTTCAATATTTATTTACTTATGTAAAAGAACTGGGGTGTAGGCCAGAGGTGCAAGTGAGGGGTGGGGGTGAGAGGATTCCCCAGAGACAGAGTGGGGAGCAGAACAAGCGGATCTACTAAAATACACTGCCGAGGGGAGCAGCGGGCGAGACAGGAGAGGTCTGCTGTGCCATGTGGGTCAGCTCCTGTCTGGGGATCGAACTCAGGCTGCAGCAGTAATATCACTGAGACTTAACTCCTGGGCCACCAGGGAAGCCCCATAACTGGACTTGTTTACATATATATTAAGGTCCTCTCACAAGAGGAAAAGAGGAAAACAAGACAGCCTTTGAATTGTGTAAAGCTGTATCCTTTGCATTTCAAACACTGCCTGCACTGAGTAGGTGCTCAACAACCCACCTTTTGGGTAAATGAACAGGTAAATCAAGAGCATCAGGTCCTTGGCTACAGAGCTGGCCTGTCAGTATCAACTAAACTGTGGCCACAAAACACACGGGGTAGGGTGCGTGTTGGGGGCGGTGGGGGGAGTGGTAGGGGGTTGTAGCCTTCCCAGCACACTAAGGCCAGACCGTGGCAGGTACCGCCAAAGTCAGGGGACCACATAAGACCCACTGTGCTGTGGACCTGACAATTCCTGGGGCCAGATTTCTCCGGGAGAGGGACGCAGTCAGACATTTTAAAATCCAAAATGTTATACTAATTTCCAGTCTCTTCCAGTAACACCCTCCCTCCCAGTCCCCCTACCCCAGCTGACAAAAGTAGGGAAAAGAGGAGGCTCCAGGCACTTTGCCAGCCCAGGACCACTGTTACTGACCCAGTGGCAGGTTCAGGGGGCCTCTACAGTATTTCACGATGAAAGTGAATAAAAGCAATTCAGGCACTACGTGAAAGAACATTCAAAAACACTGAAGGGAAGAAAAGGAAAGTCAGAGTCACCTGCTCCCCACTTGCTCCCAGATTTGGATAAACTGCCCACACAAAACGTATGCACAAATCCTCCAAACATGCCTTCCTTTGTCCCCACTCAGTATCTCAGAGACACTGTTCCTTTCTGAAGGACTGATACCAACTTTTTTTTTTTTAAAGATTTATTTATTTATGCATACAAGAGCTGGGGTACAGGCCAGAGGTGCAGGGGAGTGAGAGGATTCACCAGAGAGAGTGGGGAGCAGAACAGGCAGACTGACTGAAATACACTGCTGAGGGGAGCAGCGGGCAAGACAGGAGAGGTCTGCTGCGCCATGTGGGTTGCTCCCTGGCCAGCCGGGGATTGAACTCGTGCTGCAGAGGCTGCAGACTGCTCCATAGTGCTGTGCTTAACCCCCTGCACCACCAGGGAAGCCCAGATACCAACTTTTTAGAAATGAGTTTACCCTCAGGCATCCCCCGCCTATCTTAACTGGGTGCTTAGGTGAGTCACCTCTGTCACATAGCTGATCATGCCATGATATCTGTGTCCACCTTAGGACACAGGCCCCGGGAATTGTCAGGTCTACAGCACAGTGGGCCCCCTGATTTTGGTGACACCTGCCATAGGCTGGGCTTAGTGTGCTGGGAAGGCTACGGGGGTCTCCCCACGCCCACACCCCCGCCCCATGTTTTGTGAAGGCTTTGGGGGGGCTTATATATTAAGGAGCAGAAACACCCTCCCCCCGCCCCCGCCCCGTGTGTTTTGTGGCCACAGTTTAGTTGATACTGACAGGCCAGCTCTGTAGCCAGGAGCTAGCTGCTCTTGATTTACCTGTTCATTCACCCAACAAGTGGGTTGTTGAGCACCTACCCAGTGGCTCTTAGGAACACTAGGTTGGGTGTGTTAATTTCCCCCCAAACTTCCCAAGCACCCTCTGGGCTCCCTAAGGCCTCCGTCAGTGAAGCTGACCCTTGGGAGCACCCATGGGACACATGGGTCACACTGGGCACATCATGCCAGGTTTCCGGGTTCCGGGTCCCTGCAGGCATCCCACACCCCTTTCTGAGGCTCATGAGGTATCTGTCTTTTATTTAGGCCGCAGGCAGGGCACCTGCCTCAACTACCCAGTGCAAAAGCCAGCACAGGCTGCTGGGAGCTGCCCCTAGAACTGTGATGGAAGAAGGAAGTGTACAGTCTGTGTAAACAAGAGGGAGGGGCACACCGTCGGAGGGTGGGGGACACGTGCTCAGCTGCCTATGACACAGGTCAGGCTTCGCCAGGTTCTGTTTGATAAGTAACTATTTTACCACCGGAGCATAATAACGAGCACCCGAGAGGAGCGGGGCTGTACTTGGCCCCGCTCATTAGCGAGATGGACACTGGCCACAGAAATGCCTCCTTTCCCTCCTCGCCTCCTTCCTTCCCTTTACACACGCAAACATTTTCCCAGCAGGGATTCCCGAACAGATAGTGCTGGACGGTACAGAAGACAGACAAGTCCCACAGGAAGCAGGGAAAAATCACGAACATTGGCTCTCCTGTGGCCCGCATCCCTGTAAATACAGACGGGCTGGGTACCCTACTTGTCTTGACGTCGCTAGGCGCCAGGCGATAAAGGGCTGGCTCCAGGTCCGCGACCTGAGGAGGAACCCCCACCAAGAGAGCTGGAGAGGAAGCGGGGCAGCCCTGAGTGTCTAGGGACAAGGTAGGCAGGCCGCAGGAGAGGCTGGGCTCCCAGCTGAGGCGGTGGGGACAGTAGACACCTACTTCAGAAGGTTTTCTGCTCCTGTTCTCATCCGCACGGCTTTCAGGATCTGCTGGTTCAAGGCGGCCCTCTGATTCTGTAGTTTGCTCCGGCCGGTTTGTGCAAGGGGATTGCAACCCTAAGGGGAAACAAAAGATGCCCCTTCAGAGGTCAGCTGCGCTGTAAGTGACATTTAACACAACAGAAAATGTTTTTTAAATGTTTTAAAAATATTTTAAAATGTTTTTAAAATCTTTACTGAAAATGAAATATTAATACCGAAAATACATAAAATGTTGAAAAGTATATAAAGTCACTCATCGTAACATAACTCCCAACAGCTATGAGTCTCTTTCCTGCCCCTCCATTTTCTCCATTTTATATGCATGTTGTTCTTTCCCACAGGAGAGACTGTGCCAGGAGTCCCAAGACCACCACCATGTGTGGATATTTGCTAGAAGGACTCACAGGGCTCAGCATTACAGCATTCATTGCTGAGGTTATGACAGAGGTTTACTAAGGGTCCATAGCTGGATCACGGACCCAGACACAGGAAGGCTTCCCTTAGCTTTCTTTCCCCATGAGACACTCTCCCCCAGCAACAAAAATGCCCCAACACATGCATGATGCCTCTGCCCATTAGACATTCAAGCAAAGGTTTTTATCGGGGACTGGTCACAGGCACCCCCTGCCTAACCTAGTTTGTACCAAAATTCCAGACTCACAGGAGGAACGCAGGTGTTCACCATAAACCCCCCCTGTGAAGCCCCCAACTTTCTCAGGGATCTTCATATCCAGTGGCATTAGGGCCACAGGTCAGAAATAAGTCACCTTTCCCCTCCACTGCGGGCATGTGAACCAACTTCAAAAGTTGGGGAATGGAGGGAACACCCCAGGAGCCAGGTGCCTGATTGACAGGCAGAGGCCAACTTGCAAGTAGGTCTTCCTGAGTGGCCTCAGGCCTGCTGTGTTAACCCTTTTCTGTACAGGGGCACACACAGTTTATCATGTTTTTTTCAATATTGTACCATGAAAATTTCCTTTATTTTAAATTGTTGCTCAAAAACATTTTCTTTTTTCATGTTGTATTTAACTTTTTTTTAGATTTATTTATACAAGCACTGGGTACAGTCGGATGTGCGGGAGGGTGGGGTGAGAGGATTCACCAAAGACAGAGTGGGGAACAGAACAGGCAGACTGACAGCGGCAGGAGAGGTCTGCACGCCATGTGGGGCCCTTGCCGGTAGCCGGGGATTGAACCGGCGCTGCAGAGGCTACGGGCAGCTTCGCAGCCCAGTGCTCAATCACTGCACCACCGGGGAGGCCCTATATTTAACGTTTTACTTTGTTATTGAAGTCACATTGCATTAGAACATTGTAGAAGCTTCGGGTTACGTTATTGAGAGACAACATATGTGTACGTGACATTAAGCTCGCTGCTGAGACTCCAATACACCACCATTATCCCCTGTACCCAGCTCATACCTCTCCTAAAACTATATATTTTAATGACTGCATGCAAATTAATGCTTTTTAAAAGGATCTATTATTTCCTTATAGGCAAACATTTAAATTGCTTCTATATATCTGTTATTATATATAATTATTTGATGGCTATTTGTGAGCATGAATTTTTTGTTTTTGCATAGAAGAACTAGGGTGCAGGCCAGAGGTGCAGGGGGTGAGAGGATTCACCAGAGAAAGAGTGGGGAGCAGAACAGGCAGATTCACTGGAATACATTGCTGAGGGGAGCAGTGGGCGAGACAGGAGAGGTCTGCTGCGCCATGTGGGTAGCTCCCTGGCCAGGGATCAAACCCAGGCCTTAGCAGTGATAGAGCTGAGTCTTAACCCCTAGGCCACCAGGGAGGCCCTGAACATGAATCTTTATAAACCTCAGGTTTTCTTCTTTAAGGTATAGTTCTAGGGCAAAGTTGGGGTGGTGGGTGGTGTCTAACTCCTCTAAGTCCCCATTTCCCCTACAATCCAATTATCCTCCAGGAAAGAAACGCACTCCCTATTCCCCATCTCCAACCCCCTGGGCCCCAAATCTACTTTCTGTCTGTATAAATTTGCTTACTCTGGACACTTGATATAAATGGAACCCTACAAATCACAGCCCTTTGCAGTGGGCTTCTTTCACTCGGCAGCATGGCTTCAAGGTCCACCCCTGTGGCAGCATTTATCAGGCTCCAGTCCCTTTTGTCCCTGGTTAATACTCCACTTCATGGACACAGCACGGTTAGTCATTCATCAGCTAAATGGTGTTTCCCCTTGTGGGTTATTCATTCATCAGCTGAAGGGAGTTTTCCCTTTTGGGTTATTATGAGTAAGACTACTTATGTCTTTACACATTTTCATGTGGATGTCAGTTTTCTGGGCTGTTTACCTGGGAGTGTCATACCTAGCTATGTCATAGATCCTTCTGCGCTAGCCACCCGAGGAACTGTGACGACACCGTCCACAGTGGCTCTCCTCTTTGATATTCCCATGACAATATGTGAGGGCTGTAATTGATCTCTACCCTCACCAGTCCTTTTTATTGCCTTTTCTATCTCACTGTGGTTTTGATTTGCATTTCTCTGATGAGTCACCGGGCTGAACACCATTGAATGTGCTCCTTGGTCCCTGTTTTACCTTCTGTGGAGAAACATCAGTTTAGGTGCTTTGCTCATTTTAAACTGAGTTGTTTTGTTTGTCTTCTTATTGTTGAACTGAGAAGAGTTTTTTTAAAGATTTATTTTATTTATGCATCCAAGAACTGGAGTATATTATAATAATTATATATAATATAGGCCAGAGGTGTGGGGGGTGAGAGGAGTCACCAGAGACAGAGTGGGGAACAGAATAGGTGCATCAACTGAAATCCACTGCTGAGGGGAGTAGCAGGCGAGACAGGAGAGGTCTGCTGCGCCATGTGGGTCAGCTCTCTGGCCAGGGATCGAACTCGTGCTGCAGTGGCTGCAGATAGCTTCATTGTACTGAGACTTAACCCCTTGTGCCACCAGGGAGGCCCAAAAAGTATTATTTTTAATTTTCACCAACTAGATACGCACAAACAGGTCTCTCATTCTTTCAGTTTGTATTTACTGTTAGTGAAGATAAGCATTTTTTTTTTCATCTAGTATTGATCACGTGTATTTCTTTTGCAGTTATTGGCTGTTCTTCGCCCATTGTTTACTGGGTATTTGTAGTGTAATGTTCCATTCTACAGAGCTTAAGATCAGAATAAAAGTATCATTTGAGGGCCTCCCCAGTGGCGCAGTGGTTGAACGCTGGGTTGCGAAGCTGCCCGCAGCCTCTGCAGCGTCGGTTCGATCCCCAGCTGCTCCCCGGCCACCAGAGGAGGGTCCCACATGGCGCGCAGACCTCTCCTGCCGCCCGCTGCTCCCCTCAGCAGTGTACCTCGGTCCTTCTGCTTGCTCTGCTCCCTGCTCTGGCTCTGGTGAATTCTCTCACCCTCCCGCGCTTCTGACTGTACCCAGTGCTTGTATAAATAAATAAATAAATCTTTAAAAAAAAAAAAAAGTATCATTTGAATGGTGTTCTTTCCACCCCAGCAGATAGGAGCCCTGGGAGTTCCATTCCTTTCTGAATCTTATCTTTAGGTTCTGCCCCGATGGGGCTATGGTGACTCCCAGGGAGTGGCATTTGCTGGTGAGCAGTACTCTGTAAAGATCTGCCCTTTCTCCCCGGCTCTCTGCACACCTAGCCACTCCCACCTCTGCCCTTGCCATGCAATCTCCCTCCAAAGAGGGAGAAGTAGGTTATATGTAACCCCCAACCTTCTCAAGCTTTCCATATCCAGTGGCATCTGGGCTACAGGTCAAAAACAAGTCACCTTTCCCCTCCCACATTCTCACTTCCCAGCAGGTCACCACCCACCTGTCCCCCACGCAGCCACCACCCAAGTTCCAATTACACAGGATTCAGAATTTGACTTGGAATGGTCTCCAAGTTAACATCTTTTCAAACCATTAAATGACCCCTGATTTAAAAGAAAAATTAAAAGGCTAATTGTCTTTTTTCAGATAGAAGATAAAAGTGTTCTTTAATATTAAGCTAATTTACTAGTAAAGGGCTAAAATAATTGCCAGCCTCTTTCCTCTTCACTTCCTAAAATTACTATGAAGGGAGGTTCAATCTGACTCAATTACATGGTTCACCAAAGCTGGGCTCCATTTTACAGAGAAGTTTTAATAACTAATTCTTTTTATGTGCATTCCCAGAGCCCAGATAAGCAGTCACTCCAACTCAGGGATAAGAACTTTCCTGCTCCTACACTTTACCCAACTTCTGCTGTCCTGGAGTTGCCACGCCCTAGCCAGCCCACAGATGTGGAGTCCAGTTTCCAGATAAGACACAGGAATGCTTGGGATTAGATGTGATAGAGTAATTGGACCCAAAACTACATTACTTCTTACTGACAGGTAGGAATGCTGGGCCCTGCTACAAATACCAGAAACGCCTACAGGGCTTTCAGGAAACTTTCTGAGTCTTGAGAGGTGAATGTGGGCAGAAAGACACCCCTGGCATCTTTAAATGCTGCTAACCATGCACTGGCCCCTGCCAGGGGTTCTTTGCTGGCGTAGACCCACAGGCCTGGACACACTCTCTTGATTGGCTCACAACAGGCTGCACAGCAGCTCCAAAAGCTGGAGGAAGGGACTGTGCCAAGGACCAAGACAACACCTGTCAATGCCTGCCTTGCCTGGCAACAGGGAGAAGGTGGGGCAGCTGATGTGCACCCATCTCAAGGGTCACTGTCTACAAGTCCTCCAGGAAGGTAATTCTTGCCATGACACGGAGTCTGTAGCTCCCATAGCAGCCCAGTTTGGGCATCTGCACCAGTCACCCAGAAAGCAAGTACTGAGTGAAAGCAAGTACTTTCTCACTAGCTTCCTGGGCATCTCCCCTGTATCAGCCAGTCAATGTGGACCCTGGTACAGCATCTCAGATCACCCAATTCTGAGGCTACTCAAGATGGCGGGGCGGGGGGAAGGCCAGAATTCAGCCCACATCCCTCCTGCCTCTCTAAAATGAGCTGTGAAGCAGCTGAACATTAGGAGCGTGTGGCCATGTAGGGACAGCTCAGCGAAAACCCCTGGACACACCTCACGTGCTTCATCCAACTCTCCCAC